GTACTACCATTTGGTCATCGTTAGCCTTTATTTAACAATCCAGCGATGCGAATACATAATTTTTCTTTTTGATCCAAATATCTCGAAACGAAAGAACGGATTTCAAAATTTTTTATGTCATTCAATAGAAATTATGAATGCCTTTAATACGATATACAAATGTTACATACATCTTGTACAGTTATAGCAACAATTCTATTTAACTAAAAAAAGTTACAAAAAATTTTAAACAAACATGATTTTTTAAAATTTGTCATATTAAATATATTTAAAAATTTTATAATGCAATTCGATTAAATTGGCAACCCTGGCAGACGGACGGAAATGTGATCGGCTGCAATGTCCCCGAGTCGCAGAAGCAAGTAGGTACGGAACGATTGAATGATGATCGCGTACGTATTGCTGAAATACTATCACCAGAGAACTCAGATGTTGCGACCAACAATGGTGGCATACATTTTAAACAAGATTTGACTCGCTCGATCTAAAAAATTTACGAAATGTGTTAGAGGTACCCAAAAATAACGGCGAAACTAAAAAGACAATCAAGTATGTCAATGGGGTTCCAAGAATTGTAAACGTGTCTGGATTTACGGAGATGTGGTAAGCCAAGGCATCACTCAGTTTGTTCCTTTATATTGCAGAAAAAACACTGAATATCCGTGTTGGTTTTCAAAAGAACTGATGAATAAAACAAAACAAAACAAAATCGCTCACCAAACCTACAAAAAAGCAAAAACCCAAACGAACTATGCCTTAAAAAAGGAGAACAGGCTTCTATATAATGCAATTTTGGAAATTGATCCACTGACCTTTACTGCTGTTTTAAACTGTGAAAAAGTAAATATTGGATGGAAGCGCTGTAAAGTTTTCGATAGTGTGGAAATAATGAGATGTTTTAAATGACAGGGGTATAACCATAAAGCCAGCGACTGTAGAAATGAAAAAGTGTGTTATAAGATAAGAAACATAGATCCAAGGAATGCAATAAGCTCGGTATTCAGAAATGCAATAACTGTATACGAGCTAATGAGAAATTAAGCCTTGGTTTAGACGTAAATCATACAACTCAAAGTAGATTGTGCCCGGTGTACTTAAATAAAGTTGAGCTCAGACGTAAAAAGATCGGCTACTAGTAATCAAAGCAAATGTGCGGTTTTTATACAAATATACAAGGGCTTGTCAATAACTTTAATGAAATTGAAGTTATAGCGGATAGTTGGCAGTATGATTTTTTAGTTCTAGCAGAAACACACGTCACGAATGATATTGATGAATATGAAACCGAACTTAGCAATTACGACCATTTGAACTGTTTCTCTAACTCAGTAAGAACGGGTGGTGTGACAATGTATAAAAGAAAAGAGCTTAAAGTTACTAGATGGTTTGAGAGAATCGTTCCATCAAAAATATGGATCCTTGCCTGCAAATGTCAGTATAATGGAAGTATAATGGTAATAATCGCAATTTATAGATCACCGAATAGCTCGGAGAGAGAATTCTGTAATATTTTTCTAGAAACAATTGAAACAATATCAGACACAATGGGTAAAATAATAATCGTTGGTGATATAAATATTGACTGGTTGAAAAATGATATTTATAAACGCGACATAGAACGAACATTAAACGACAACTGCTTGAAGCAAAAAGTGAATGAATACACCAGAATAACACAAAACTCTAGGACATTAATTGATTACGTAATGACTAATATAAATGAAATTAAAGTACAAATAAATGCAAACAAAAAAATAACGCACCATGAGGCAAGTTGGTTCGATAATAACTTGAGAAATTTAAAAAGAGCCAAAGTTGAAGCGTATCAAGCTGCAAAGGCGTATAACATAGACTATATGTGGGCGCAGTACAAAGAAATTAGAAACATATATAAATCTCGTATTACAAGTGCGAAAAACAAATACATAATGAGAAAAAATTTTAGCTCCAAAAACCAGAAGAAAATGGGGAAAAATATTAAAAGCCTAGTGCTGAAACAAAAAACAAATAATATCAAAGCAGTGATGTTTGATGGGGCAGAATGCAATAATAACTATGATATCGCTAATAAATTTAACGAATATTTTATAAATAGTGTAGTCAATATAAGGGGCTCTATACAAAATATGCAGTACTCGAACGTGATAACGAGAACTGAAAAAAAATTTACATTTGCAATGGTGTCGAATAACGAAGTGCTTGAAACATGTAGGAAATTAAAAAAAAACCGACTGTGATAAAATAAGTCCAAATATACTCATACATAATTGGCACTTACTAGGTCATACAATCACGAAGATAATTAATAATTCACTCATGGAGGGCAACTTTCCGACATCGTTAAAAACATCAATAATAACACCAGTTGAAAAATAAAAAATACGATGAAATGTGAAGTGGTTTTTGAAACGATCGACAGGGCCATTCTGTTACAAAAATTATACATGTGTGTAGTTGAAGGAAATGAGATTAACTGGTTTATGTCGTTCCTTAATCAAAGATTTCAAAGAACAAGGGTAAATGGTTCATTATCAGAAAGTCTAAAGGTAGAAATGGGTGTCCCTCAGGGCTCGGTACTGGGTGCAGTACTGTTTATAATCTATATAAACGATATAGAACTTGTTCCACAAAACTCAAAAATTGCATTGTATGCAGATGACACCTTAATCTACGTAAAAGGTACAGATATAAATGACTGTAAATTTAAAATAACAAGTGATATCGATCGGATTAATGAGTGGCTCAATATGAACAAATTGAAACTAAACGAAGAAAAAACAAAAATGATGATTCTAAATACAAGTGAAACTATTGATATACAGATAAACGGTGTATATATTGAAAGTGTAACAAAAATAAAATATTTGGGTCTAATAATAGATACTAAATTAAAACTGAAAGATCACATTGACTACATCTGTAAAAAAATTGGTAAAAAAATCGGCCTTCTAAGGAGAATACGTAATAAAATTGACTCCATACGAGCAATTAATATATATAACGTAATAATAAAACCCCATTTTGAGTACTGTGCCTCAATTATGTATACATGTTGTAACGCGATGCAAATAGATAGACCCGAAAAGCTCCAAAATAAAGGTGTGAGATGTATACTAAAATGTAATCGATACA